AAAAGAAAAGAAAAGAAAAGAAACCGTATATAAAGGTATCCTCAATCCGTGATTGATATCCCTTTGTAGTCAACTAGAGAAGACCGCATCATCGTTGTTCAGAAATCTCACAGCTTCCAACTATAACCTTTCCTCATTTATTATTGAAAAGCCATTGAGACTCAGACCCTTCTTCTCGTTGCAGGCTGTCTTAGCTTTTCGGCTTGTGATCTGCTTTTCCTTCCTTCAATTATTGGATCAATTCTCTTGTTTTCAATCTGTTCGCCTATAACGACATAAGCACTCCGGCGCAATCTACTGTGTATCCCTTTGTTATCTTTTTGCAACAGACATCTTTGTCTTACTTTTTCCAGAACAATTGAGCATAAGGCATCCCTCACATCCTGTGACAAGATAGAGTCCCTCGATACAACATGGCCTCGACCTATGATCTTGTGAATTATGACTCTGACGAGGAGAGAGAGAAGTATCCCCAAATCCCCGGCTCCAATCTCGCTTCTGCTGCTTTCTTTATGGCTGGGCTGTTGGACCGAGCTGGGATTCCTTATGGGCTGATGGGTGGTCTTGCGGTCTCATACTTGGGAGGTAAACGTGAGACCAGAGACGTTGATATGGCATTTCAAGCACCTGGAAAGATGCGAGACATGTGGAGAATTGTGGAGGCCGAACCGCGGTATGTCAGGCTGGTATATAAGCTCTTTTATCGCTAAACTGACATACTAGCCTCTAGTTTGATCATTCCGAACACCAGATTGATCAGTAATATTTTGAAGGTATTCGTCCGCACTGGCCCGGGTTACGACAACTGCGTGGTGGCATTGCCTGTAGAGGTTGACCTTATCGAAAGTGGTAAGCGTGGCTATACGAAGCATGTTCAATCCCTTCTCACCAAAAACAAAATCTAGGATATCAAAATAGCCCACGGGAGCTTTCTGAAAACAGAAGACAAGTTTCGCTCAACACTAGAGCTGGAGTGCGGACGATCTACGCAATTGAGCTCCTTTTCCTCCTGAGAGGTAAAATGGCGGCCTTTGCTGCTCGCAAAAGACGTGGTGATATGCAAGATATTCAACATATAGTGTTGGCCTACGGATCAGAAGTTCGAGCGGTTGTTCATCGTTTAGATCCAGAGACCGTCACTGCTTTCCTTGAAAGTGTGTCTCCCGCGAACCTTCCCCGCTGGAGGGCATTTTTTGGGCGTTGAATCCTTCTTGTGCTAACCACTTTTCCTATCATGGCGTGGGTATGGCATTGTCAAGTGGGGAGATTGTATGGGCATCCATGGACTCACGCATGTCAATCCAAGTTTCTCAGAATGGCCGTGGAATGCAGTATGCCAGGGTATACGCAAGAGTATTCTCCTTATGTCCAGCGGTGTATGTGGGTTTGATGTTACTTGTCCGGGTCAGGGGAGGGTTTACTTTTTGTCATTTATATGGATTTTGCTTTGCTCTCTGCTTGCTTGATTTTTGGTATGTGTCTCATGTTCTTTGTCATTGTGTAATTGCTTGTTCGCTGTTGCCCCTTTAAATAGCTACTGAATTTGGTTCTCGATAAGCATTAAATTTGGCAAGTTGCGTGTTGAGGATATCTACAAACCAGGCCTGCGGACACTCCTTGGGTCCCTGGATCCATATTTCCGATACCTACTCGCATAAACATCTGGTGAATACTTCCAGCCCAGGCGTCTCTGTTTATTTCTGACCGCATCCAGCCAGATCTCTCTCCGCGAGACAGGAGTTGGGTCAACGAAGATGAACATTTCATCCACCCCATCATCCCGGAAAGCCTGGGCGCGATCTTCCAGCCACTGTGTATCAGTATGGCCTTCCAGGTCGAGTGTTTTGTGACCCCACTCCTCCGAGAGGTCCATTCCATCTATCAACTCCTCTAGATCTAACAGGCTTTTGGAATCAATCGCACTTTGCACGTACACTGAGAGCTTGGGGTACGGCAGGCCACCTGGGGCGGTTAGAAAATTTCCTAATATGCAGAGCTTTATACACTGTAGAATACCTAGACTCCACTCGATATTCTCTGGCTTAACTGTGAGGTGGCAGTAATTCCCCGGAACTAGGAGCCAGAAAGACGCCCATCCAATTGCCTTGAACCTGGGGTACTTGTGGTTCAGCAAATCTGGCGACCTAAGCGGGCTTGGACCACATGGCTGGAGGATATGGCTGTTAGAGCTGAATAATTCAACCGCACGTTGAAATTGCTCATCCGGTATGCATAATACTAGGTCCTAGGCTTATGGTTAGATGGCATTCCCTCAGGCGCTCACACGATAGAGGGTGTTCACGTACGCGTGGTACACGCGTAGTTCCATAATAGATCAGTGCTTGTTCTTGAACGAAGCAACATTGTATCCCAGCATCGGTCAAGATGGATAGCATCTTGGATATTTCTTCGTGAGGCTGTAGCCCCTCGTTAATTTCTCCGACTGCGAGTGGATCAAGCGCTGAAGAGATGAACACTTTCTCGGCATTCGCTTTGGGATGGTCCATATTTCCGACTTGATAATTTAGATATGGATTAAGTGTCTAATAGTGTTATTATTGTTGAAAGGTCCCCTCGAGAGCTGGAAGAACGATGAGATGCCTGCCAGGTTTAGTTAGGTTGGTAAGAAGGAGATGAGGGGAGACGGGATCAAAGCGGAGCCCATGGTCACATGATGCCATTGCTAACGCTTGCCCACCCAATAAGGCTGCAAACGGTTGCCTGGTGGGATTTTACAAAGTACGATCAGATGTGGGCCTTCTTAATATTGATTATTGAGATTTCGATTGTGGAGCTGAGGGTCTATCACCGTATCACGCTGTTCGGGGTTATCAAAACGCAACATTCTAACCATCCCAACGTCATTTCCCGGTCCCCGCACATGTTCCTATATTGATGCCTAAGGCAGTAGTTGTGAATCACCAATGGCCTGGAGACAGATCTGATACAGTGAGCGCCTTCTCGGGTTATTTACTGGTTTATTGTTTGTTGTCTTCCCACAAAAAACAAAAAACAAAAACATACAACAGAAGGGATTCGCTGGTGGTCACCCACCCAACTACTAACCTCCCGGCGTGTGGCTTAAGTACGGCTGAGCGGACGGGAAGCCCTGTTTTCCACACCCTGTGGTCGTATGTATTTATCTTTATTTGCAGAAGGCATATATTTCAAAAACGCTTAATATAGCTTTTCGGATATTCGGACCCTGCATTTGTCAGTGCCGCAGTGCATAGTTAACTACGGCACTGATCGCTTATCGGAAATTCTCCGTTGCATGACGGAATGCACTAATTTCTGACTCAGTTGATTTTGACTCGGCCGATCATCGGGTGATATTTTCCCCTGTAGGATAATTCCATCTATTTCCGTTCTCTCCCTCGGTTTCCTCATAATTCTCGAATTTTTCTAGGTCACCTTCTTTTTGAAACAATATGGCTGCCAAAACTTTCATCGTCACCGGTGCCTCGAGAGGTACGAACCCAACTCATTATATTGCTTATGTCGGCATCTAAATATGCGACCCCCGACGCTAAATATCCTACCCATGGTATAGGTATCGGTCTTGCAACGGCCAAGTTCCTCCTTTCGGCGCCTCAATCCCACAATGTGGTAGTGATGGCCCGTAGCGCGGAGCCCCTTCAGAAGCTGAAAGACCAGTACCCCACTCAAGTTGAGGTCCTGACCGGCGATCTTGCGGATTTCTCGCTGGGCCAGAAGGCCGTTGACCTGGCCTTGAAGGCCTTCGATCGTCTCGATGGCTTGGTTCTCAACCACGGCATGCTGGGCCAGGTTGCCAACGTCGCGGAGGCGGATCCGAAACAATGGCAACATGGATTTGATGTCAATTTCATTAGCCTGGTGACTTTCGTAAGTTGATTGCATAGACTCCTTGATCAGGTCCACAGAGAAGGGGCTACCGGTATTAGGTACTGATACATCAAAACCAGATCAAAGCTGGACTCCCTGCCCTTCGCGAAACCAAGGGTAAAATCATATTCACGTCTTCCGGTGCATCCGTCTCGGGATTCAAGGGATGGGGTCTGTATGGCGCGACCAAGGCAGCCATGAACCACCTGGCTCTGAGCCTTGGCGAAGAAGAGCCTGAGGTGACGTCTGTGTCCATTGACCCGGGTTTGGTTGATACCGAGATCCAGAGACAGATTCGTGAAGACCTTGCTACTACTATGGACCGCCAATTCCATTCTGTCTTTACTTCGGTCCACCAGGCTGGAAACCTTCTGAAGCCTGAGCAGCCTGGTAATGTTATGGCTAAGTTGGTGATTGATGCGCCGAACTCGCTGAGTGGCAAGTACCTGACGTAAGTTCTACTCTTGTTCACCTATGACAGTTTCGTGATATGGTAAAACTGACGAGAGATAGGTGGAACGACGAATCTCTGGAGGCTTTTCAGTAGACTATATAGAATAGACCTGTATATATCGCGACTAGTATATACGATCATAGACTGTTAGACGAAATAATTTCTTACAGTTCATCTACATTTTACTAGACCACTATAGAGTGGCTGAGTTTAATTAAGTAAGGAAGGATATGAGTAATTGTAGGATAAATCGATGGAGTCGAAGTTGTTAGGGACTGTCGATTTGTTACCTGGATAGAGCACCTAGAGCAGAGCCAGACAACCTTTATCAAGAAGATTCAGGGGGTTCATGACCAAAATTAGCCTAAAAAGCCAAGAAAAGCCCCGCATTATGTCATTGGATCCTGCACTAACGAAGTCAGTGTGTGTAGATTATGAAATTCCATCAACATTCCGCCACCTGCAAGGCGACCAGTCACTCACCATGCATCTAGATCACAAAGTACCATGGAACACAGCAGCCGCACACATAAATATCATAAGATGCAATCCTCATTTCACACCTCGACGCACCGACTTCTTCGCCCGAAATAAACCCACGGAGTCATGCGACCTGAACCACTTTCGTCGCACCCTTACCAAGACAATCCGCGAATTCTCACGCACCGAAGAAACCAAGCCACTCAACACTGTTCCTCTGGACAGCCTCATATCTGATGATCTACTATCATACCCCGAACGCCACTTCGGCCTCGGACCCCATCAAAAAAACTCCGCCCTGCATAACCCCCTATCTACCAAGCACCGAGACATCCAATACTGGATCGACAGCGCTAGCTCTAGTGATGAAAGTTACCCTATAAGCTACTGCAGCGGAGACGGGGACCTCGCCGACGCAGTCAAAATGCTGATCATCATATCCGCAAGCGCGAGAAAGAATGATCCCCTATCAAGGCAAATGTCACGAGAAGCTTTTTCCGCTCTGATAACGCTCTCGCGCCATCCCTAGGTACCTTTGTATACCCTGGCAAACATCTATTGGGGTTATGTGTTTGGCATAGAGCTTGTTGCGGAGCCGGTGTTGACGATATATGTCATGGTTAATCTGATGGATGCGCTGGTCATGCAGAAACGGTTGAACGGGGATGACAAGAATGTAGCTTCACTAATGGAAACACAAACATTTCAGTACTGGGCGCGTCATGCCCTTGCGGACTATGATTATCCGACGCAGAATGTTCCGCATCGGGAGTTTTGGAATCACTTTGGGGTCACGGATATGTGGCCTTTGCAGCAACGGTGTGAGGAGGGTCTTGATGCAAACTTGAAGGATGAGGGTATTACTGATCCGTTGAGGGGGGAGAGTGAAGATATTAGAGTTCGCTTGAAGGAGTATTTGAACACCTGTTTCGCTATATTGTACATATATGATATGCTGCTGCGGGAATGGTATGGGGAGGAGGAAGCTGAGGAGAAGTGGAACTACTGTATTGGTTCCCTTTTTGAGTCTTGGGGATGCAAGGTCTAGATTTGACTTCAACTGAGCTGCTAGTGGCTTTTGTTCTTGAATATTGAGTCATGTGCGTGGATAATTACTTAAAATATCCTGAAGCTGTTATACCAAACCGACCAATACCCGCAAAGACTAATTGTCCGAAACCGTATAAATCAGCTTCCTACCGCTAACAGCGCCTTTTTTCAAATCCTCTAGTCCATCGAGAACCTCTCTCAGTCCTCCAGCTCGCTTATCAACAACCAGTGGTTTAATCTTCCCCTCAGACCAAAGAGCGGATACTATGCCGGCCCATCTCTGGGCAAATTCAAACTCCGCCGGCATCCTGGGGATAACCGTGCAGTCTGGTCCGTACTCGAACGGCTCACCAAGAGCCGTGCAGCAATTGACAAAAGTGGACTTCACATCCACACGACCCATTTCTGCAGGGAGTAGGGAATGGTACAAGCCCCCTTCATCACTGATGGCTTCTTCGCAGATGCGAACCGACTCCTTCGTTGACACAGCGTCACATACGATTTTCAGAGCATTGTTTGTATGCTCCCGGATCTGCTGAGCACATCTGGGGTCACGATAGTCGAAAACTGCATCAGCGCCGTACTTGCGGACAAGGTCAAAGTTTCTCGGCGAGCAGGTGGTTAGGACAGTGTATCCGGCTCTATAGGTGCTCGAGGTTAGATTTCTGTCCTTCACCGGAAGATAGCAAGGGAGAGAACTCACAGTTTCGCAACTTGAATTAGCCAGCATCCCGACGCCGTGCTTCCGCCATAGATCAAAATTGTGTCGTGATTCTCCTTAGGAGGGTAATTCCATGGTAAATTAAGACCGGATGGCCCAAAAAGACATTGCCCCGCGGCAATTGCTCCGACTCCCATGGTGGCTGCATCCTCGAAACTCACCCCATCGGGAATCCGTATCTGGACGGCCGCTTTGGCCAAGATATACTCTGCGAAGGTACCGCTCTCGGGACGGGTTCTATCTGCTCCCTTGACGAGTCCACATACACGGTCTCCGACTTTGTACTGCTCTGAGGCGGATTGTCCAACCTCGACAATGGTGCCGGAATAGTCATGGCCCATGACTGCGTTGGGCGACGGAGTGCTTCCAAGAAGCATCCAGTCAATAGGATTCAAGGCCACAGCGGCAGTGCGAATGAGGATTTCATCGTGGCGGGGAGTCGGGATGGGTTGGTTTGTGATGAAGGCTGCGTGGCCTAAGGATAGGGTGATAACTGCTGCTTGGGTGGACTGCATATTGGAGAACAATAATCTTAATAGAAGCAGATGGCTTAGGCGACTGTATGGTATACTCACGCCAGAGCAGTAACATTATCTATCTTTATATACAGAAGGAAGTTGGGGGAGCTTACAATATTCTTAGGAATAATGGGCTGTATGGGACCCACTTTCCTCCGCAATGGCTGACGGCCAGCCGTCGAATGACCCGCATGGCTCCGTTAATGCCTAATCATCTTTTGAGAGATACGAGTGAGTCTCCATTTATTTCGCTTTGACAGGTAGCATGCTGACCGGCGATTCACTCTATTATGAGAAAGGTTACCATTATCACTACCTGCTAAATCTATTCATCGCAGATTGACTATACTCAACTGCCGAGTCTCTTCCCTTGCACGGTGTCCAATCCTTTGCATGCAACCAGCAAAAGGAATTTGAAGTCATCTACATGAAGCAGTTCGCCTTGTTCCCAGACACCCACAAGCTCGTCGTAAGACACAATTCTGGATGCTGATTGCGTAGTCAATTGCCCTTCATCAAGACTCCCGAAATACAAATTCGTGTATGACTGAGTAGAGACCGGCAGCCCAGCAAGATATTTGATAAAGTCGCATCGGTGGAAGTGGACCACGGCATGGACAGCACGCACCAGATATGACACTAAGATAAGTCGCCGGACAGTTTCACAGAGATCCCTGCTCTTCAAATGGCTTGGGGATGTTGTGTGCCGAAGTTCCAACTCTCTGCGTTCTAGGTCGGCTGTGCCCTGTGCTAACTTGTAGTCCAACTGGATAAACAAAGACTGATCACCAACACCACCCGCGAGGAAGAGAATAAAGTAGAGAATTAAAGCCTGGAGGTGATCAAGTTGATCCTGCAGTTCCGCCTGCGGTAGGTTACTCATACCCGCGTTACTGACGCCTGCCTTCAACAGCTGGAGGTAGAAAGGGTGGGTTGCATGCTGGCAGGTGCGATATGCGGCGCACACTCCGTAGGCTTCCCGGAGAATAGGAGATAGCCCCCCTTTAGAATCGGTGGATGACTCAACGAAAGGCAGTGTACCGGTGTTCAAGAAGTGATCGACATAGCCTAGGAATGTTCGGATGCAGAATCGCCAGGTTTGCATGTCATTAACACGGGGCCAAAACTCCAAGACTCTGCGTTCCAGCCGTGGCAGTAATGAGGATGATAGCCCATCTATTGCCCTCGTCTTAGACGACCACTCATCCGGTTCTACGGCCCAGCCCTGAGCGGGGCTCGTCGGACCGTCCGGGAACCATAGCAGTGGGTCAATATATTCCTCTCCGGGATAGAGGATCGTAGATCGGTCTATGCAGCTATCTACACTCATGATGTCGCTGACTTCCAGGATACCAGAGTCGCTTGTAGTGCTGATATTTGCAATCTGATCCTGTGTATTCTGTGAAGGCGGATATGGGTACTGACACACCGCGTTCTTCTTCCGACAGCGGGCGCAAGTGGGCCTTTCCAAGTCGCACCGACGCTTTGCTGCAACACATGATAAACAAGATGTTTTGCGAAGGGACATTGTTACGTCCGCTCTCGTATGAGTGATTCGACTGCGCTGGTTGCGGGGTCTTGATGTTATTAGCTTCCAGCTTATGCGACGCGGTTGAGTTGCGGACAAAAGTGGATCAGCGGAGGAGGGTGGACCACAGCCATCATCTGACATCAGCCAGAGAGCAGATCCCTTTGTCTTACGAAGTATTATTTAATCAGACACGAGAAACATAAATGGACGTAATTTCTATGACGTATAGCCAATCGGGGACCTATCATTCTAGGGGTATTGGTATTTTTGTTATAGTAATCAATACAACGAACCCTAACACTCACCCTTACCAGGGTGTCCTAATCTGCAGTTCCAAGTCGCCCCTCGTCTTGGTGATAAGATTGAAAAGGAAATGCTCCATAAGTCCATCAAGTCCAAGTGTCTGGGGCCCGCCTTTCAGCGTGACCATTTCCACTGCTGCGTCTACGTGATGCTTGAGCATTTTTGTATCTCGAACATACAACTATACCCTAGTATTAGCACCGCATAAGGTCACAGTAGAGGCACTTACTTCGTCATACGCTAGCATAATAGCTTTCGCGACCGTTGAGTCACTGAGTAACGGCATCTCAGCCGATATAGCATGCCTTAGTGCATGCAGACTCTGGGATTTATACTGAAGAGTCAGTTGTTGAAAGATGCGTTGCTGTTCCTGCGACCCCTGTCCATATGCAATAGACAAGTGACGGCATGCCGCAAGCAAGATGATATCGAGAAGGCTTGACTCGGTGATCGCAGTAGGGACCCAAAGTCTTATCATGCGCTGCGCGAAGAAGATTGCGCTCTCATTGCAGCGCATCAGAGGGATGACGACACTGACATCTTCACCATAATTTAGCAAACTTAGTATGTTCTGGACTTGGAGGCCATACAATGATCAAAGAGAAAATGCTCTAATGAGTTTAAGCCCCTAGCAAAGCAATGAAAAGGGTCTCGCCTATCAGCCGAGAGGATTGTGACAACTCCAGGCGATACACTGTCTCTGAAGCTAGGATAAATACTGAATACACTGTCTCGTGTGTCTCTCCTCCCCCGCTTCTGTGCCTGATACTCTGTCATCCGCCGATGTCGGACGCGGGCATGCGCAGAGCGAGCGGCATGTGAGCGAGTAATCCGTTGTTGTGACTCTGTCAATGTAGCCTTCTCTTTCGGAACAAGCGTGACATTGATAAAAGGTACTTCCCGCTCAGCCATCCTGGAGAAAAGACAATAAACGAAATATTGTCTCTCAAGGGTGAGCCACACAATGTTTATGATGACATTTTGAGATGAAGCTGGGCAGCTGACATGGCTGACAAAGCATCTATTATCAAACTTTGCCAAGACCTGCGCCTGCTCAAAGAGGATTAATGCTTATTTTGGATAGACTCAGCTTCGTGATTGGCTCGATGTGCACTGTTGATGTCGTATAGATAGATTCTGCCATGTATGAGAGATATTTTACTAGGAAAGGGGGCATGAAGGACGAATATAAAAGCATCATGTCCTCCCCTTGCTTTATCAGACTTCGTTATATCGTCCCTTCTTTGAACTCAAGTCTCCAGGTTATCCATCGATTCCATCATGGAAGGAACAGTCCTTATAACCGGCGCAAACGGCTCTCTTGCCCTAGGCTTCATCCAAGCCTTACTATCCCTCCATCCCCAGATGACCCTGATCGCCACCGTCCGGAACCCCTCTCCAGACCAAGACCCAAACACCGCGAAACTCCTCAACCTAGTTGCCTGCTACCCCAAAGCGAACTTCCACCTGGAGGCCCTCGATCTCGGCAACCTTGCCAGCGTCCGCTCCTTCGCAGATCAACTAGCCGACAATATAACCTCCAAGAAGCTTCCACCCATCTCAGCAATCATCTGCAACGCCGCCACCTTCTCCTTCGAAGCAGGACAGGTCTTCACGACGGACAGTTATGAGGCTACCTTCCAAGTATGCCATCTGTCTCACTACCTCTTGATCTTGAAACTTCTCGATAGCATGAACAAGACATCCGGACGCATAGTCCTCCTTGGCTCAGTAACCCATTACCCCGAAAAACCCAACCCGATTTGTTCTCTGAGGCCGGGGTTTCCGAAGAATATGGACGATTTGGTGCGTCCGCCGCCGGATCCAGCAAATCTTGTGCATGATAAAGGGTTTCAGAGATACGGTACTGCAAAGCTGGCGAATGTTACGCTGGCGATGGATTTGAATCGCAGGTTGAAAGAGGTACGTTGTTGCACTTCCCCATAAGAAGGGAAAGAATTGACGTTGGCTTTTGCAGGACGATCGTTTGTCCGGCATCACTGCGCTTGCCATGGACCCAGGCGGTCTTCCGAGTTCGAGGGCGCAGGCGGGACAGAAAAGGTCGGCGCGGTGGTTGTTTAGGGTTGTTGAGTTCCTGATGCCGGGTCTGCGGTATCTAACTACCATGTTTCGCACCATTGAGGATGCTGGGCGGGATTTAGTGGCTGTGAGTGTTGGGGATGAGTTCCGAGGGAAATCGGGGTACTATGTTGGGACGAAGGAAGGGGCGCCTGCGGCCATTAGTGAGGATCATGAGGCACAGGAGAAATTGTGGAAGAATTGTTGGAGGTGGGCAGGTATGTGGGCTGAGGAGACTGTGCTTCGAGATGCTTGATAGATAGTTATCGCAGGACAGGATAAACCTAAGGACGTGTGTGTGTTTAATGTCGAAATATATATTCTCGCTCTCAAAAACGTGTACATATTTATAGGGCATTATGTAATTTGCTGGTATCAAACTGAGTAGAAAAGACATAACTTATATCCGGAATGCCAAAAAAGCCACCAGCGCCATGAAAAGCGAAGCAGAAGCAGACGGTATGACAGAGTGGCTTCCACCAGACGACGAAGAACCCACAGCAGCAAGCCTCAGCTCAGAATACGTTACATTGGAGGTATTGTAGCCACACAGTCCACTTCCCGGCATCATTGCAGCGGGAAAGAAGACTCGAGGCTCGCCCTTGTCCATGTCCACGACCAATTGGCTGTAGGTGTTGACCGTATAGTTGACGCAGTTCAGCACTTCCGTGACCACCTCGCTAGCCCCATAGCTCATAGGCAGCGTCAAAGTATAAGCCGAACCATTGGAGCCCGCCGTAGATAAGACCATGATGACTTGGCGTCCGTATGTGCCCTTCCAGAAAGCCAACTCGCTACCTCCCTGGTAAATTGGGTATGTTTTTGAGTTGATGTAACTGGAATCAAGGTTAATGGCATGTTTGCGGATGGCATTGAGTTTCGCAATGTGTTTATACAGCGTCGCATTGGTGTCGAAATCGGTCAACCAGAGGGCCGCTCGGTTGGAATAGGCAATGGCCTGCTCCAGACCTTGGTAGACCAGGGGAATGCCGTCGTAGAGCATCATGAAAGTCAGTGCGGTTTTGGCTAGCATGATGTCGTCATTCATGTAGGCCCATCGGTCCACGTCTTGATCTTCGATGAAATTGACCATTGCGAACGTGTCCGTGCAGAGATCGTTGATCGTTGCGATTTCCTCGAGCAAGGTCGCAGGCTCTCCGTTCAAGAAGGCCGTGATCATGGAGTAATAGAGGGGGTAGTTGGGAAGACTTGGCAGGTAATCTCTCTGATACTTGCACACGTTGGTGGCATTCGAATCCATGACTTCGCCTGTCATGAATCCGCCCACGGTTTCCGCATATGTAGGCAGAAAGCTGGGAGTGAGGGACTTGGCAGCGTCTATTCGTAGCCCGTCAACGGAGTAATTGCTAATAACCGATTTACTCCAATCCATTAAGATGTCCTGCACCGCAGTATGCTCCGTGTAGAGATCCGGGAGTGCGGTGTAGTTGTCACCAGTCTGACACCACTGTGCATCCGTATAGTTATTCCAGTTCGTAATGAGGCAGTAGGGGTGGAAGTATGAGGATCCATTGAATTGAGGAAACACATTGTAGTCAATAGTTGTCGCAGGATCCTCGCCATCCGTCATATAAGCCATATTGTTGATGACGACGTCCAGCAGCAAGTACATGTCTCGTGCGTGGATCTCCTCGCTCAGTTTCAAAAGTTCCTCCCGGGTCCCGAAATGAGAGTTGATCTCGTATAGATCCAGAGGCCAGTACCCATGATAGGCCTCCCCGTCCTTAGATCGCCCCGCAATGTTTTTAATTACAGGGGAGATCATGATGGCATCGAACCCCATGCCTTGGATATAGTCCAGCTTATCGATCGTCCCCTGCCAAGACCCGCCACAGTAATTGGCTTCCGTAGTATTGCATGGTGCGGTGGTCGAGCCGTTGGTGAGGGCAAACCGATCGGTCATTGTCTGATAGATGGATCGCGTCTTCCATGCTTCTGTGCTTGCGGCTGTCGCTAGCGAAACGCACCAGCACAGGAGACAGACGGCCATGAGCCGTTGGCCCAGGAGGGAAGCGAATTTTCGAAACATGATTGGCCGTAACTACCCTCGATTAACCCTCTATGCCCCCTTGTGGAGGTTCTGCTTCCCGTTGGGTGGGTTTGGGGTGACCGAGTGAATTATGACAAGCAACAGCTTACTCTAACGAATGTGTTTTAAGCGTTTCAACTTCAAGCGGTCCAGCTAAACGGGCCGCTGAGCATGATGTTGAGGCCGGATGCGCTGTTCCCGTTGCAATAACGGGGAAAAGAAAGAATGACAAGTCAAAGCAACGCGACTCAGGGGGGCGGAACCCCCGATAGCTATAGCAAGAGATAAGAGCGCCAGACCGGGGGCTGCAGAAAAAGGCCGGTCGAAGCCGGAAGTACCATAAATAGGTAGTCTCTCCCCCACCCTCGGTCACATCGTGTGCCCGGAGCCCTATCCATCATACTAGTCAACACCCAACGAGAACCAAAAATAAAGACGACATCTAAATTTGTAACGCTCGATGGTACTATACCCTACTAGTACTCCAATTCACCCGAACATTCGAGAACGGGTAGCAGCGTTAAACTCGAAGATCCCCTGGGATTGTCGCGGGAGATTGACTGACTATCGTGAGGGCAGGGCTACGCTGAGGGCGAAGTGGACAGGGCAAATTAACTTCCCACTTTTCGGCTGGGAGAGCGTTCAAGCGTCAAACAGCTGATTGGTGTGATAGTGACGAGGCCATGCGTGGTCCAGTGGCAATTGCGTAAGTCTGCCGGGCCGGCCCCCACATGCCTTGTCATGATGTTTGGATGCAGTGGAGTCAATGCCTTGGCTAGTTGTTGGTTAGTTCCTGCTTAGTTCCTGGTTAGTGCCGACAACAGCCTTTCATAGGACAATGTTCATCTCCACTCGGCCACTATCTTCGAATAGAAGCTTTGCCAACCAAGCGGCTAAAATCATAAGTCCGAGCCCGGCCAGGCACAGCGAAATAGAGCAGCCCCTAAACCTGACATCCGAAAAAGCCACTCGGACTTGCAGGGAAAATTCTGCCACGCCGTTGGCTCCAGGCAGCTGTCCAATTTCCCACCATAATCTATCCGGGCGGGGTTTGGGTGTGTTCACCATGCAGGAAAGCCAGTTTGTGTAGTGCCTGACTTGAGCCAGGAGAAGGGGGCCCAGTATCTACTCCGTATGCCCTCGATCTTGAGATTGACATTGAGATTTCGGATGATCAGAGGATTGACTGGGCTAAATTTGGTGTTCGGGCGTGGGTACTAAATCATGTTGCCATGAGGCCGTGCGGAACACCTGGAGAGTACGTATGACCTCGTAATCAGTGGCTCGATTTAGGCCCAGCAGGATAGGCCAGTCCTGGCCAAGACTTGTCACTGGGGCAAGTCGCCTTATCGATATGTGATGGACACAAGCTGGAAGCCACGAGAACACTTATCAGTCGTTCTTTTGCTGGAGGCGCAGTTGGCTTTGGTCTCCCCCATATTTGGCTTCTTCGTTTCCTCTGACTTGTCTTACTTTAATTTCTTTCCGTCGTTTTTATTCCCAACCTTTCGCAACTGCAGACTTCATCCGCCCAATTGTTCATCCTTCGTTTGCATTCTGCTTCTTCACTCGTTTTCACCTCTACACGCCATTCGTTCCGGACCACTCGGTCGCCACTCTTGGTCCTTGTCTAGCTTTGCTTGTGCAGAAACAAGGCACCCCTATTTTTGTCTCTCGTTTTCTGCCTCGAATTTTGTAAGCCTTTCGAAAGTGTGTACTTATGACTGGCTCGTAGAAAAGCTTCACCTTTTGTGATTGAACTGCGAGAAGAGGCCTGTTGCGCTTCAACACAACATGAAGCGTGTGCTCGCTGGCCTCGTCCTTGCCTCCACGGCATGGCAGGCTGTCGCTTGGCCCTACAATGCATCACTCGCAGATTACAATCTGAACCAAAACAAAACTGCGACAAATCCTGCAGATTATTGGGGACAATGGCCGAACCACACCGGGGACTATTTTCCATCTCCGGATAACTGGCGATTTCCGTTTTACACCCTGATGCTTGATCGCTTTGTGAACGGAGATCCGACGAACGATAATTACAATAACTCAGTATGGGAACACGATATTTGGTCAACACAGATGCGTCATGGCGGAGATGTAGCTGGTCTTATCGATACGCTTGATTATTTGCAGGGAATGGGCATCAAGGTCGGTCAAGGGAACGGAATCCGATTGTCGGAAATCGGGCACCTGAGGTCGGTTTGCTGATCAGTTCGGGTTCTAGGGAATTTATCTGGCTGGCACAGTTCTCATGAACCAACCCTGGGGATATGATGGCTATTCGGCACTGGACACAACTCTGCTCGACGGACATTACGGAAATCTGGCACAATGGCGACATGCAATCACCGAGATTCACAATCGTGGCATGTACGTTATTTTCGACAACACGCTTGCGACGTATGTGCTCCTACTGTCCCCCATTGCTAATTCCCATGCGATGGGCAATCACAGCTCTAAGAATTGCATCTAACGAGGCTTCCATAGGATGGGAGATTTGATCGGATTCGAGGGTTACTTAAATACCTCGGCACCTTTTACAGTGGATGAGCACAAAGTCGAATGGAAGACCGCTCGGCGATACGTGGACTTCGATTTTGGTAACACTTATAACGAGACCTGCGATTATCCCCGATTTTGGTATGAAAATGGTTATCCCGTCCAGAAGACGGTCACCGACTCCCTGGTTGGCTGCTACGACAGTGATTTCGATCAATACGGTGATGTCGAGGCCTTCGGAGTGTTTCCTGACTGGGAACGAGAATTGGCCAAGTTTGCATCCGTGCAGGACCGCCTGCGTGAGTGGCACCCGTCAGTCCGAGACAGACTGATTCGCCATTCGTGTCTGGTGATATACCAGCTTGACATCGATGGTTTCCGCTACGATAAAGCCACGCAGGCTACCGTTGATGCTTTGGGTGATATGTCAGCTGCTTATCGCGAATGCGCCCGGGCAGTAGGAAAGGAGAATTTCTTCATAGCTGGAGAGATTACTGGTGGAGACACCTTCGGATCAGTCTATTTAGGGCGCGGTCGGCAACCGGATCAATATCCATCCTCGATTGAGGCTGCCATGAATCTCACGAATACCTCGGAGCCGCAATACTTCTTGCGAGAGGAGGGCATGAATGCCATCGATGGCGCCGCATTTCATTATTCGATCTATCGCAACCTCGAGCGTTTCCTAGGCATGGATGGCAGTTTGTCCGCCGGATACGATGTCTCGGTGGATTTCATCAATGCCTGGAATGAGATGTTGGTCTCGAACGATTTCCTCAACCCTAATACCGGTAATTTATTGCCACGGGTCCCAGGGTATAAAAAGAATAAGAACACTGACCATAGATGCAGGTGACTTCGATCCCCGACACATGTATGGTGTCACCAATCAAGATGTCTTCCGCTGGCCAACGCTGGAGAAGGGAACCGAACGCCAGCTGCTTGGCCAATTTGTGACTACCTTGCTTCTGCCAGGGATTCCTCTACTGCTGTGGGGAGAGGAACAGGCATTCTATGTCCTTGATGCCACTGCGTCAAATTATATTTTTGGACGTCAGTCCATGTCGCCGGCCGTTGCCTGGCACATGCATGGATGCTTTTCTCTGGACTCCTCAACTTTCTATGACTGGCCTATTACAAGGGGTCGTCACGCGTGCGAGGATATCACGGTAACGTATGATCATCGGGATCCCTCCCACCCAGCTCGCAACATCATAAAACATATGTACCAGATGCGCATCGACTTCCCCGTGCTCAACGACGGCTTCAATGTCACCAAACTGTCCAACCATACTGAATATGTATACTACCCAGGATCCAATGGAACCGCCACTGAAACCGGTCTCTGGTCAGTTTACCGTGGCATCAGCTCTGACTTCCAGGACTTGGGAACCGGCAACAACCAGCCGGTCTGGTTGGTGTATCATAACACTAATCGGACAATCGACTACACATTCGATTGCAGTGACAATGACAGCGCATTGATCTCCCCTTTCGACACCGGCACCTGGGTCAAGAATCTTTTCTACCCCTTCGATGAACATGAGTTGAGCAGCAGTCCGCAAAAGCTTGGCCTCAATGGATCTACGGCCTATAACGGTTGTCTTTCCAACATGACGATGAAGGCTTACGAGTTCCGCGCCTATGTCCCACGTGCCAAGTTTACCAAGCCTCGGCCTATGATCACCTCTTTGTCTCCCGGGCACGATGCTCCTGTGCGATCCACTGTCGCACCGAATGAGGATGAATCGGTACAAATCAAGATCTACTTCTCCGAGGCCATGAACTGTGATTCGGTGACGAGTTCCATCTATGTCAACTCTTCTACTGAGGCCGGGAAAACTCCAACAATAGACACAGACAGTGTCAGTTGCAAGACCGCTACACTCAACGAGACCGGCAGCGACTGGTCTGGTTTTATCCCGAGCGCCTGGGTATGGCAGGGGAACTTGACTGGCGTGTACAATGGTATTCATCGCATAACCGTGAACAACGCCACTAATACCTACAAGAACGAAACCACCGATTCTGTTGATCATTTTCTTCTGCGGGTGGGTCAAATTGATAATCCTATGATATATACGACCGCCAATTACTCCACCAGC